TCGGTTGAGTCATCTGAGTCTCATCCTCCATCTCTCTCTCTCTCTCTCTCTCTCCTCTCGCTTCATCGGTCATTTGCATCGAGGAGTTTGTCGACACAGTTCCGAAAGTTTCTAATGGAAAATCTTAATGACTTGCGTCTGTTCGTTGCGATAGTTCGGTTTTCTCGCTTGTTTCGTGTTAACTTCGAGGCGACCCTTTTCCAGATTAGTACGTCTTGTTGCTGGTATTTCTTCAAGGCATAATTCAGCTGTCAACTTTTATTTATTTATTAATTATTATTATTATTATTATTATTTTTTTTTGGGGGGGGGGGTGAAGGGGGAGGAGTAGTGATTGCAGTTCATTCATAAGACCTTTATTGCATCGACGATTTGACGCTTTGCAAAAGTTCCTTGATTTTAACTTTAGGTGACCTTCATTCGGTGTTTGTTTTGTCACATATTACCTAACTTCTTGAAACCATTATTTAGTTAACCCTGCAGTTTTTTCTCTCTATTTTGGCCTTTCCTTTTACCCAGAATATCCGGAAGCACATTCAGTATCCTTTTTTTTTTCCTTTTTTAAACTTTCTTTTGTTATCTTTTTTTCTTTGCCTTCTCAAACACACGAATCTTTCTGAACCCTTCGCCCCGCACGACCAGGGACTAACACAATTTCTTTTTCTAGTGCGTCAGTAATTCAGTTTGTCTTTTTCTTATGCGTCTTCGCTGCCACGAGTCCACGAAGGAGTTGTTGATTCAACCAAAAAATACGAGAGCTCTGCCGTCGTCTGCTCAGCGCGGAGGTTCGAGGTCTTTTCTTCTCTCCCGGACGAAGAAAGAACGAGGAAAGAAAGAACAGATGGAAAAAAGAAAAAAAGAAGAACAGGATTTGAAAAGAAAAAAAATATCAGGGCAAAAAGCTAAGGGAAAAGAACGGGACAAGAGAGAGCAAGACAAGAGAGAACGGGGTATGAAAGACCGTGACAGTTGATGTCGTGACAAGAGAAGTCCCATGAGAGGACAGGACAAGAGGGAACAAGACAAGAGAGTAAAACGAGGAAGAACGGGGTAAAAAAGAACAAGAGGACAGAGAAAGAGCACGAGAGAAGAAAAGAGCAAGAAGAACAGGACGAGAGAGAACAAGAGGAGAGAGAAAGGGCAAGAAACAACAGGACGAGAGAGAACGGTGCAAAAAGAACAAGAGGAGAGAGAAAAGAGCAAAAAGAACAAGAGGAGAGAGAAAAGGCAAGAATGAACAGGGCGAGAGAGAGAACGTGACAAGAGAAAACAAGACCAAAGGAGAACGTGACAAGAGAAAAACAGGACAAAAGAGAACCAGACCAGAGAACCAGAACAAGAGCAAACGGGGCAAGGAAGAACGGGACAGCACACGTCGCCGGGGAGAAAACACGCTGTTGACGACCTCGAAGACAGCCATCAAACCCTGCAAAGGAGAAGATAAACGTCAGCGGTATAAACACATTTTTCTCCCAAGACGTAACACTCCTTCAAGTCACAATGGATGGAGAATCAAATCATTAGCCTCAAAAGGACTGCACGAAGACCTTCCTTGTCAGACGAAGACCTTCCTTGTCAGACGATAAAGCTAAAGGGTTAAAAAAGGGAGCACAGGACACGAAAATAAAAGTTGAAAAATCGGAAGACTACACCTGGGTGCGTGGAATGATTTAGAGGACATGCAATATATTCCCGACAAAGGAGGGTCCAGATGTCAGATCGTATGTTCCGCGGTATACTAGTCCTCAGCGACATATATATTGGGCCGGGTGGATGGGGAACAGGCGGGAGAAGAAGTCAAATAAGGTCTGCCTTTCATAACTCGGAGAGCCGTGCGCTTGCCTGCATTCAGGTTCTTGCATGTGAATGTATCTGCGTTTGGGAACTCTATATGGATGAAGATTAAATGGTTATATTTCAACATAATCTTGTACACACACAACACACACCACACACACACACACACACACACACACAAATATGTGCGTGCTTTAATAATCAATCTATCCATCTATATGTGTTGGTATATTATTTAATCACATACCAACACTCATCTAACTGTATTACCACCAAGGCGTAAATAACCTCGGGCAGTGGCAGCTTCATGAAAAAAACAACAAAAAAACACGAACAACAACACTGCAGTCTAACTTATAACAAGGACAATATATCTCCGAGCGACAAACCAAGTTATTGTCAAAAGTTGTAGTTCGGAAGTCCAGCCAAGAATTCGGAGGCTGCGGTTTATAGCGAGCATAACTTACGTACCACAGCTCTCCCAAAACAATAGTTTACCCTGATAGTTTACTCCCGGGTTTATTAACCGTCGGCTCCCTGAAGATCTTTTGGGCTTCGTCGGTTCGGTCCATTATGTAGATGAGGTAATGAAGCATGAGGCAGCGGGTCGGATCCGCTTCGAAGCGGCGGAGCTGTTTCGACTATTCTCTGCCCTGGTGCTTAATTGAGCAGGAAGGCGAAGGAGAAAGGGGCAAATGGGGTTTTATCCGTCTCCTTCTCTGCTTACTTGAAGGGCTAAAGGGGTTCCCATTGCTCGTTGTAAGTCACGGGAATAGAAGAGTCTTGTGCATTTGTGCACAAGCGGGTGAACGAATGTTGACCATCAGCACATACATACATACGTATATAAATGCATACAAATATACAGAAATACATACATGCATGCGTACACACACACACACACACACACACACACACACACACACACCACACACACACACACACACACACACACACACACACACACCACACACACATACACATCATACATACATACATATATACATACATACACACACAATGCCAAATAAGTGAAAGAAAGAGCAATAAATAAGACCTCATGGAAATATTAAAACATGAATCACAAGACGTCTTTTGGCAGATAGAAAGCTGCGTGCGTTTGTGTGTTTGTTCTGTTTGTTTGGATATATATCATATATGTATGCATGTAAATATATACATATATAACATGTATATACATATATAGGTATATACATATATACACTATTAATAAGTCTGAGTTTGTATGCAAACTATGTATGTATTTTGAATGTGCGTGCTCATATGCTGTTGTATGCATGTATGTGTATGAATTTGTGAACGGGAAATGTGCGTGCTTGTGAACCTGTGTATATGCTTTCTCTCTCTCTCTCTCTCTCTTCTGTTTTCTCTCTCTCTCTCTTCTCTTCTTCTCTCTCTTCTCTCCCCCCTCTCCTCTCTCTCTCTCTCTCTCTCTCTCTCTCTCTCTCTCTTCTCTCTCTCTCTCTCTCTCTCTCTCTCTCTCTCTCTCTCTCTCTCTCTCTCTCTCTCTCTCTCTCTTATCTATCTCTCTCTCTCTCTTCTCTTCTCTGTCTGGACCTGTATATATACAATGCATATCCATGTATGTGTGTACAGTAAAATATGTGTGCGTGTTCCTCAACGACACCCACGCCGTTCCCGGGACTCGAACCCCGTGACAACCTCCGGAAGAAGCCATTGGCCAGTCGTTTATTAAAGGCCGGAAAACCTGGAGAAAAACAAGAAAAAGGGAAACGAAAAACAGAGAATCTTCGCCGTCGTGTCGGACCTGAGCGATGACATCCGGGACATTCCAGTCCAAAAAAAAAAAAGAAAAGAAAAAAAAGGAACAAGGTGATGATGATGAAGAAGAATTAGAAGAAGAAGAAGAAGAAAAATAGAAGTATATGAAAAAAATAAAGAGTAAAAATAAGAATAAAGACCTGAAATAAAAAGAGAAAGAGAAAGAGAAAGAGGAGTAAATAAATAAATGACTAAAGAAATAAAGAGAATGAACTTCAAAGGATTGATAATTTCCATTAGCCTGATGAATTTATTATTCATGTCGGTTTGGGTATTAATAAGTCAGTATTTTTAGATCCTGATTTATCATTATTATTATTATTATTATCATCATCATTATTATTATTATTACTATCATTATTGCCATCATCATCATCATTATTCTCCTCCTCCTCCTCCTCATCATCATCATTCATCATCATATAATTATCATCCCCCTCATCATTACTGTCAGTATTGATATTATTATCATCATTATTATCATCATGATTATATTTCTATTGTTATCATTAATAGTATGACTACTA